ATTTTTAGGAAATTTTGTGACAAATTTTAATTTGATGGCTTGTTATTTTTTATATGATTTGTTATTAATTTTATTTTAATTTTAACAAAAAAAATAAGTAATGATAACCAACTTACACATTTACTTTACAGTAATGAATATTGTCACTGAAATAAAGTGAAATATACAGTATTTTGTTTATATACTCTTATCACTTATCAGTAGGCTCTTCCTCGGTTACGCTACCCTTTTTAAGTCTTGCTATTTTGTTAATCTGCAGTGTTTTCGATGTTGATGATGAAACAATACCACCTGAGTTCCGGAATGGATTTACGTTTTTGTCACCTGATGAACAGGTAAGCAGAACGCAACATTAGTTGTATCTTCTCATGGACGCTGGTCTCTTCTAATTTGGATGACAGTAAATCAATAGTATTTATATGGAACCCTGAAGGGTTTGTTAGGTCTGAAGACATGAGATGCTCTTTTGTGTTTTTGCAGGGTTTTAACGGGGCTTTGGACCGTGCCATACAATACTACAAAAATGATAGAGAGAGTTGGGAGCACCTTGTCCAGAAGGTTATGAATATGGATTTTAGCTGGGAATCTTCAGCTGAGCAGTATGAGGAGCTCTACGTGAAGTCAGTGTCTAGAGCACGGGCTGCAAAACGTGCTTAATATCTGGATACAGTTATAGAACAGGAGCACGGGAGCAATGTTACCCTGCAAGTCTGCAATGATAAATATGTCACTTGCGACTATACAAGGTTCAGATATGCTGACTTCTTGTGTGAGGTCTCATCATTTTCGGTCATATTTGAGAGCGGTCTATTACTTAACAATTCACCAAAACTTGGAGAACTACTTAGCTGAGGAGAGCTCCATATCATTATTTTAAGAAGCTTGTCTTTTTGATGCACAGTGCTTTTTGCCTAACAGAGGAGGAATGTTTGGTATTGTATCTGTACAGAATTTTATCACCTACATGTGTAGATTGAAAGTTCTGCCTTCTCTTGAGGGGGAAGAAGTCGAGTTTACCACACTGTATATAATAAACAGATGTAAGAAGAAAGAACAGAAGTTTTATACTCTATATATTTAATGTTGAGATTTGATGTTCACCCATGATTGCTGTTTAGACTCGATTGATCACCTATGAAAACTAAATAAATGTAATTGAATAATGTTGTTTTAGTTGATGCAGAGGTATCGGCAGCTATAATTCTTTTTCTTTACATATCACAATTTTATGGTTTGATTTCCACAGGAACTACCTATTACACCCAAGGTTGTATAACAGGTGACAAGAGCAGGGATGCAGATCCTTTCATTTTGATTGTGTGACGTTAGCTGAGTAACCAAAACAAAGGATTAGAGAAACAGTTAAGGAAGCAGTAGAGGTTGCTGCTACGAGCCTCGTGCACTTGTGCTTAATCAACCTTGGGAACTACTCCATATACACCACTGGAAACATTTTACGAGCAGTTTATTCTCCTCGGCAGTCAATTTAAGAAGATAGTCTTTTCATCTCAGATAGTATGATGCAGAGGAAATGCTACTCGAGTAATACTCATCAGCAAAGCCCTATCCCTTTAAAGTAAGCCCGCCAGTATAGCCGAGTTAAGTTAGACCAAAAGCTCAGCCTCCATATAACCCCATCTGAATTTCACCAACATAATTGTACAGTTATCAACATCTTTCTGAACGCAGGAAACCTACATGTTACTTCGATTTCATCCTTTTTTATCAAAACCAAACACCCCAGATACATCCTGTACATAAGTTTTTTAGCTGATTTTGTATTTCTTTTGGCTGAACTACACAAGCTTTTCCAGGGCCAGACTTCTGGTCTCATGGTCACATTTCTATCTGCAACGTTCGTGAGTGGCATTAGCAATGACATTTCTTAGCAATTCAGCAAATATAATCCTGGGAACTACTCAGCCAAGTAGTGCTCCATTTATGTCATTACTCTTTTAAATAGCATGTCTTCTTCTTATTGATGTCTGCTATTAGCTGATAATGGCTTATATGTCTAATAGAAGAAGAATGCCTGCATTACGTCAATACATATTTATATATCAACTATAATTGCAAATTTATACCTAAATAATAAGACTGCTAGTTTATTAGTTGTAAGGTTGATTTAAGAAGAAAGAACAATTAATGACGTAGATGCATTTAGAAATTCTTATCATGATTTATGTTGTGACTTGTGGTACATATGCAATTTATTTATTTATTCATATTTGATGTTGTAGATTATAATCATAAATATTCTGATTGACTACAAATAATAAAGAGACTATGAAGTTGATTTCAAAAAATGTTACAATATAAGCACACAAAATTCGCATTTTGAACATTCATTCAATAATCAAACACATGTACATTGAAGCATATAAAGCTCAAATTGTTACACCTTTGATTCATTTTCACTACATTCATACTAAAATACTTCACTTGCCGGGAACGAAGTTGGTGGCGTATGACCAAGCATTGTTGTTAACTGGGTCGGCAAGGTGGTCAGCAAGGTTCTCCAATGGGCCCTTTCCGGTAACAATAGCTTGGACAAAGAATCCAAACATAGAGAACATAGCCAACCTACCGTTCTTAATCTCCTTAACCTTCAACTCGGCGAAGGCCTCTGGGTCATCAGCCAAGCCCAATGGGTCAAAGCTACCCCCGGGGTAAAGTGGATCGACTACTTCACCAAGTGGACCACCGGCAACACGGTAACCCTCAACGGCACCCATCAAGATAACTTGGCAGGCCCAAATAGCCAAAATACTTTGGGCATGGATCAAACTTGGGTTACCCAAGTAGTCAAGCCCACCCTCACTAAAGATTTGTGACCCAGCCTTGAACCAAACGGCCTCGCCGAACTTAACACCATTACGGGCCAATAGCTCGGGGAAAACACAGCCCAATGCACCCAACATGGCCCATCTGCAGTGGATCACCTCAAGCTCACGGTTCTTAGCAAAGGTCTCTGGGTCAGCGGATAGGCCCGCTGTGTCCCAACCATAGTCACCAGGAAATTCACCAGTGAGGTATGATGGGGCCTCACCTGAGAATGGGCCCAAATACTTAACACGGTCTGGGCCGTACCATGGGCTTCCTGATGATACATTTTTGGGCTTTGCTGCAGCTTTCCTCATGGTGATCCTTCCCCCACCTAGGATGTTTAATTCAGAGGCGGAGCTATGTTTAATTGCCTGTCCGGCCAAAGAAGGGGAAGAAAGAGCCATTGTTGAGGAGGCCATTGTTAAGAGGGCAAGCTAAGAACTCTAAAAAAAATTATGTAACAAGAATTTTTTTTTATTTTTTTTTTTATGTTTGTTGAAGTGATGAAGGAAAATGTAATAATATGGATTGTTTTATATAGGGAAAAATATTGTATCTTCTTATCTAAGGGGATATCATTATCTGATTTCTTATTAGCTTGAGAGGATTTTTGGTAGTGTATTAGGTGGCAAGGTATTAGCCATGCAGTTGAAGATTTTTGACCGTTTAGTTGCTGGCCAATGAGGGGATGACATGTGGAGATATTGGGATTGCATTAATCTAGTTCATGTTGGATTTTCATAAGTTACAACAAAATAGTCACTATCTTGCCAACGCTACTATCATAACCCATGACTCCATGAGAAGTGTTTTGAGTAGTTACAAGATTTGACAAATAATTAATGTCCAAATATAAATTAAAAAAAAAATAAAAAACGATTTTATACTAGGAAATTGATAAATCTTAAAAAAAATGTAAGAGAATAACTTAAATGTTAATTAGTTAATTACACTATATTTACTCATAATTGTTGTACATTCACTAATTTATACCAGTTTAGAAGATGTAGCTAATGTATATTATTACCCTATTGTTTTATACTTTCTTCATATTATATAATCATATATTGATACATTATGTGTTAGCCTAAGATATATTCATGCTATGCATATACACTGGCGTTTTCCAAGCTAATTTTTTTTAGTATTTAAGGACTTAGGGCTTGTTTGGTTCACCTTATTTTTGCTGATCTATTTGATTGTCTAATTTGTCCAAACTTTGACCTTAAGTGTACGATAATCTATAAGGAAAATATACATCAAGTTGGGTCTTGTTAGAATCATAATAATGTGTATTTTATTAATATATAATTTTCATAATTTTTTTCAATACGGATTTAAAGACAATTAGTGATAAAAATTTGCACATAAAACGATGATCTGATCCGAACTTATTTTTTCAGATGTGGTCAACTTATTTTTTCTATACTGATCTGATTTGATATTATTTTTCCTGAAATAAGTTAGAATAAGGTGAACTAAACAATGCCTTATCTAATACGGAGTAATTTATCCATACAAATCTATAATAATATTATTAAAACTCATGGGGACAACATGCTCACGACATGTGTCACTCATATGCCACATATGCACTATATGTCATCCTATGTGTCATCCCTCTTCTCTCACCATATTGAATTGTATTAATGTTTAGTTTCTTTAACATAATATAATAATATGTATTGTTTAATTTAATTAAAAGACTTTTCATATTGAGCTCTTACTACATTTTCATTTAGTTATTAATATTGTTCAACATTAACTCTTCTAAATTAATTTAATCAAACTTATAATTTATGATGATCCGGGGCATCGTCCGGGTCAATAACTAGTTAAGCTCTTAAATAACTTTTCAATTGCATTTTATGTTACATGGCTTGTTTTGGTTAATTATTTGGTACAATAAAAACTTGATTCATATTCCATTTTATTATTGCTACATTTTACTTATCACTAACTTTGAAATTCATTATAGAGAGTGAATGCAATTATCTAAATGCTTTTTTTAGTACCCCTAGAGAAAGATAAACTCGAGTTTGAATTTATAATTTATTCCGTTAGTCTAAACTTCCTGTGCTGTATTTATTGTAGAGCCAAAGTTTTGCAAATATTAGGCACCTTTAAACCACAAGGAAAATTTCCACTTTGATCACCGGAGGCTTATGCTTTGGTGCCCTTTTTTTCATTAATTCTGTTTTTGTGCCCTGGAGTATGTAAGGGAGACTGGTAATTTTGTTTAGTTGAACCTTCTTTCTGACTGTCAATTTATAATATTCTAAGAAAAGTCGGATATGCTTGAACATAATATGCACACTTTCTTCAATAAAGCAAAAGCATACATGATTATAAATTATTGTTGATTAAAAGATGATATGATTAATGGTGTACATAATTTTATCAAATTACATAAACTGTTGGTAAAGGAAAAGCATGGTTGAGGTTTATTTTTTCATAACAATATTAATGCTCCATTGTTCCGTCTTGTGGTATATGTTCTTTAATCCAAGAATCAAAGAAATAAATAGCATCATTTCATACTCCAATCTAGTTGAGCATTATTGCCAATCTTGACGACTCTGCTGTACCTTAAGCTTTTTTAGTGAAGTTAGCAGAGATTTTATATCCGGTCGTTGTTCAGGAGCAGACGAGGTGCAGAAGAGGGCTAGTTTCAGAAGCTCTTCTGCTACCTTATCTTGATTTTCAGTAAGGTTTGAAACTAGAGCTGGGTCTATAACCTGAAGTAGTTTGTTTTCTGCAATGGCCCTTTCTACAATGTGGTTCAAGGTGACTGGTAATCCGTCCTCTTCTGCAAGACCTGTTGGCCTTTGTGCTGTAAGGTACTCCAAGATTATTACTCCGAAGCTGAATATATCAACTTTGGCGGTAACAGTCCTCATATATGCAAATTCTGCAGATAAAAACAGTTACGGCTGAATAAGAGACTTGTTTTATGATAAATTGACAGTGCAACATGTTTTCATCAGAAAGCGAAGGACTTCATCACATCAAATATCACTTGAACAATGCCAAAATTAGCTTTGACAATTACTTTATCAAAGTTTATGCTGCTTGGATGTCTTCATGTGTTGAACTGGGTGATGGAAACTCAAGTATGTGTAGCTTAACTAAATTAAGTGCTATGCTGAACGTATGAATGCAACGAATAACTTTTGAAAATTATATAACTATAGTAGGTGCTTTGGCTAGTATGAGGTTTTCTTGTTCTGATTCTGTATTCTATTTGCAATATGTTCCCTCTGAATCAATGAATAAATTATCCGTACTTTTTTTGTAATAGTTGTTAGATGTAGGGATTGATGATTTCTGAGAAATGGAGCGACTACCCATCATAGAATCACACAGTTTTTGTGCTTTCGGACATAACATCAGTGACATTCTTCCTACAGAGTTATTAGATGACATAGTTATGATGTTTTTTTTTTTTCCGTATATTTATTTCAATGGGTGGAGTGCGTAGACTGAATAATGATTAAAGTTTTCTCGACTAATTAGTATTTGAAAATAGGAAAAGCGCAAATATTTGTTGCTAGTTTTGTAATGAGCATTTAATGTAGGCAGATTAAGACTTTTACATGTAATAAAAACTGACATAGGGGTAGAATTACAAACATGGCCTCAGCAATTGAGATACAAACATCAATTCTCTTTGACAGGATCCATGTTGAGCGATCTACTGAAGGATCATGGATGATCTTTTCTAAATTTCCTTGCTCCATGTATTCAAGATCTAAAGCCTTCAATTTCCTGCTTTCCCATGCATAACCAATGACTTTTACCAAGTTTCTGTGCCTCAGCTGACTTAAAATCTTCGCTTCTCTATTGAAGTACTTGTCAGATTCTGCTGCAAATTGCTGCAAGTTCAATTTTTTTATAGCTACGATCTGTCCATCTTCCAATCTGCCCTTGTACACGGTGCTTAAATTGCTGCTGCCGATGATGTTGTGTTCACTAAAGAATTCAGTTGCTGTTTCTATATCTTTTGTTTCAAATCTTTGAAGGACTAAAGCTGCAGTGTAATCTACGTTACAAGTCTCATGTTCTTTTAGTTTCCTTTTATTCTGGTAATGTTTATAAGACATGATTGCTATTAGAAAAAGTAGCAATGCTGAAATACAAACTAGAGGTATCATAATCAGCCGCGTTTTCCTTGACAGACTGTGTCGGGATTGGCCATGGCTTCTTTTGGTACACAGACCAAGAGATTTGGTTCCGCATAGACCTTTGTTTCCTGCTAAGTTGGATTCTGGCATGTTCTTAAATACACCAGATTGCGGAACAGGGCCTTCAAGTTGATTGTGAGATAAGTTCAGATGTTTTAAGCTGGAGAGAACACTGAAATTCTGAGGGATTTCACCTTCCAAGTCGTTCCATGAAAGGTTAACTGCACTTAAATGTTTTAAATTTGCCAAATTAGCCGGAATCTTACCCTTGATTTGGTTTTGTGATAGGTTTAAGTTTGTGAGGTACTCCATATCAGAGAATATTTCACCAAGGGGGCCTGATAGCTTGTTATTTGACATATCAAGGACGAGTAAGTTCCTGCAATTCTTAATTGTTTCAGGAATTGTTCCTGACAAATCATTAGTTGAGATGTCGATGACTTCTGCCTTCTCCAGTTTACCAATATCTTCAGGAATTGTTTCTGTGAAAGAATTGTGTGATAGGTTCAGGTACATTAGTGAGCTTTTCATGCCTACTATTATTGGCCCGGTTAAATTGTTGTTGGAGATATCAAGGGATAACAGTGGGCTTAGTTCAAATATGTGTCTTGGAATGGACCCTTGGAAATTGTTTCCACTTAGGATTAAAGTTGAAAGAAGCTTCAATTCAGAAAAAGACTCTGAGATTGGAACTCTAAACTGATTATTTTGCAACTTAAGAATGTTGAGTTGTTTTAATTGAAAAAACTCATGTGGAATTTCACCTTCCATTGCATTATCATTCAATGTAAGGGCTTGAAGGAGCGAGAGCCTAGAGAGTTCCAGAGGAATTTGGCCGGTGAACCTATTTGTGTGGAGTCTTAGGCTGATCAGCATTGTTAGGTTACCTATCTGTGGTGGAATATTCCCAATAAATGAATTCTGAGAAAGTTGTAAAGTTTTTAACTTGCTTAGTTCCCCCACTCTTTGTTTCAAGGGCCCGCTTAGCTTATTAGTGGCTAAGTCTAAGGTTTGAGATTGGAGCAATCAAAGAGGTCATCTGGAATTCCTCCAGACAAGAAATTGCTTCCAACAGAAATAAATGTGATGTTGGACAACCGCCCTAAACCTTGTGGTATCTTCCCAGTTAACATATTATAAGATAAGCTGATATCTAGTAGGTTCGAACAATTGGTAATGCTACTAGGGACTGAGCCACTTAAAAGATTGTCATTCAGAGCAATCTTCTTTAAGCTAGAAAGTTTTCCAATGTCAGATGGTATTTTTCCTGTGAGAAAATTCATACTTGCTGAAAATTGTTGTAAGTTTGTTAGATTGGTCAAAGAAGATGGAATTGGGCCTGTCAGATTGTTCATCTGCAGAAACAGCACTTCCAAGGATGGTAGAGATCCAATCTCAGGAGGTATAATTCCGCTTAGTTGATTTGCTGAAATTTGTAAGGTTGTCAAAAGTTTGCAGTTCCCTAAGGACTTGGGGATTATAGAAGTTAATTTGTTATTATATAGGGCTAGGTCTTGCAGGTTACGTAAATTACCCAACTCTGAAGGGATGCTGCCTTCTATTTTGTTGCTGTACAAACTCAGTTTAGTTAGATTTCTACAGCGGCCTATTTCAGGTGGTATTTTTCCTGTAAGTTTATTCTCCATAAGATGTAGGGTTTGTATGTTTATCAAGTTTCCTATGCTGGGAGGAATTATTCCAGATAACTGATTTCCACTAAGGTCTAATGCAGTCAATGCTGTTAAGTTCCCAATAGTTTCAGGTATCAAACCTTCTAATTTGTTGGAATAAGCAATGAAAAATTGGAGGGAAGCTAAATTTCCTATCTTAGATGAAATTTTTCCTGTAAGATTATTATAACTGAGTGAAATTTGTTCCAAAGATGTGCAGTTGAAGAAATTTTCAGGGATGCTTCCAGTTAAGAAATTGTTTTCTAAGTTTAGATATGTCAAATTATGCAGGTTGCCTAATGTTGCTGGTATTACCCCAGATAGTTTGTTTAGGGAGAGATCTAAAGTCCTTAATGCTGTCAACTTCCCTATGGATTTGGGTATGGAACCTTCTAAATTATTTGTATGAGCAACAATGACTTGGAGACTAGCTAAATTTCCAATGTTAAGTGGAATTTTACCTGTAAGATTGTTTGAACTCAACCCAATTTGCTCCAAGGATGTACAGTTTGCGATACTGTCTGGGATGCTTCCGGTGAAGGAATTGTTTCCCAAGTCGAGGTATGTCAAGTTTGGGAGTTTTCCCAACACTGACGGTATTGGTCCAGAGAGGACATTATCATAAAGGCTCAACTGCAGGAGCTGGGAACAGTTTCCCAGCTCTAAAGGAATCGGACCATAAAATAAATTAGAGGATAGGTCAAGTACCTGAAGGTGGGATAGGGATCCTAAGGAACCAGACAGTCTTCCTCTGAGCTTCTTCTCTCCAAGATATATTGCAATAACATTGCTTGTATTTGCATCACAAGAAATGCTGGTCCAATTGCAATGGTGTTTTTTGGTAGCCCAGTTGGACAATGAATCGAGAGGGTCTTTAGTGATAGATTTCTTGAAGGTCTGTAAGGCTTCTAGTTCAATCTGAAAGCTAGTTTTTACTGATATAACAGTCGTTGTTATGCTATATAGAATAATAATAAAAGCGGGGAAGTAAACAGAATTTTGGAATGCCATTTTTTAAACTTTCTAGTGGTGAATGCTTTAAAGTGATGGTGTGATTCTTATTTATACTACTGTTTTGCTGCTTGATGCATGATTTTATACTGATATCAGCAGCAAGGTATCTAACCAAATTGCTATAAAAGAAAAAAAAAAAAAAAAAAAAAAAAGAAATACTAGAAGCCTGTTAGACGACGTTTATGACTATTTTTAGTCAACATAAAGTAGAATTTCTACACTGTCATGTATGTTTAAAGCATGAGGCAAGAATTGATCTCATATCTTAAGTACCTTCAAAACATTAACCAACTAAGCTAGTTGACATCTACCGAATACATGACATCATAATGTTTATCTTTATTGAAAGCGAACTGATAAAAGTCGGAAGAAAGTGAAATATTATGCAAGTATTACTAAACACAGAAGCGAAAGAGTATTAGAATGAGGCAAGCTGATGTACTAATTTGACTTCGTATTGTACACACTACAATTTAAAGTAACGACCATTACAGTGATTAATAAGTTTTAGAGTCACAGCTCTTACAAATGAGAAATAATTGTACCTCTAATAAAATATCTTTGGAGAGCTTTTGTACTAATATGTTATAATTGGTTCTGAATTTTATTTTAGTGAGCAGTATGTTAAGTGTTAGTTTGCCATGACATTCTAGATTAATCTGATCTCTACATAAGATTTATTACAAAGTGTGATCATCGTAAAATCATGTTTTCCCTTGCTTTACAAACTGATATCATTGTAGTTTTTTTCCAGAGGAAATCATCCTCGGATCCTACACCAGCACAACATGTATTAGTCACAGTTTTACATTGTCTAATTCTTCTTAACTGCTGATTATGATTGTGATCATCATCTTGAGTTTGACCTTGTTGCTTCCTACATCTATCTACATGAAGGAGATTGACATTAAGAGTAAGGAAAATTCAACTCAGGAACGTACATTTAACGTCTCTTGCAGGTTTGATTGATTAGCAAGCTAAGGATTAATATGCCTCTTCTCAACCTGTTCCGGTACAAATGTGAGTGGTAAGTTGCTACAACCAGTTTCAAGTTTGAATTTCCTGGAATGTTATTTCCTTGACAAGTTGCATTATTATTATTATTTTTTTTTTCTGAATTATGCTTCACTGGTATAAACAATGAACATGTGCAATTCCTTAAGTCTAGGTTAGTCCAATACTGCATGTTGCTTAATATTCTTTGTGTAATTTCCCGGAATAAATTCATAATCAAAACTTCTAAAATAATTTAAGTACTGTACTATTTTCTGAAGTGGGAACAACTTTTCAGGTGCAAGGAATTGACCAAAGAGCTTCTAGAATAATTGAGTATGTCTATGTGATTATTGGATTTTTTTTCTTCTGTATGTTACTTCTTGGGGTTATAGTCCATCTGTACGGAATTAATAGTCACATACATATATTGAATTATGATGCTGGAAATAGTGGAAAGGACTCGACTTGTATATATTTTATTGTTTGAAAATCATGCTATATTTTATGAGGGATTGAGACAATGTGAAGTACTAATCATTGACGACATTATAATATATAAGCCTTAGTAACTGTACTTTGTGCTAATGTTTACTTAAAAACAACTTCCATCTACGAAGTATATATGTAGTAAATTATTGTAAATGTTACGATTGTTACCCCAGAGGTGACTATTATGGAATGAAGAAGCCAGGCATGCATATTGCTTTCAACATATATCTAGGACTAAAATTACCTCTTTAACTTCATTCTTTGATAGTTTGATTATTAGTTCTTTTCTGTAAGAAATTGTCAGTAGCAAGCTTGAGTTATAGTACAGGTAATTGAATAAGCCTAATTTTTCAGCTGCAGTTTTTCGAGACTTGGATTATGTAGTTCTGTCCTAACTGATTGACTGTTGCTGTAGTAATTAGATGAGACATTTCTTGTTATTAATCACAAAATTTTATATTGACCAACTAATTATTACTAGCTATCCTTTACCAGGTTATTTTGTTTTTTCTGCGTTAATTGGATCAATGTTGTTTCATGCTATGCAGAGAAGTCGAAATTCATGAATACCTCTCAATCCTCTCATTGAAAAAGAAAAAGAAGTGTTAAGACGGACATCATCATTCAAAAATGTGTCCTTCATCTCAATAGAAAGAATATGTTAGGATGGAAAATCACAATCCACAGCACCTTCTTGTAAGAATAATTTATCTTCTTCGTGCCACAATCTACCTTGATGAATGAATGTCATGGTTTTGACATCAATATGGGTGTTAGAATGAGGCAAGTTGATGTACTTATTTGACTTCATATTTTACGATATGTAAAATAGAGTAACGAATATTACAGCCTAGCTCATAGCCCTTACAAATGAGAAATTATACTTGTAATAAATAGCAATTCAGGTAAACAATGTACACGTGAAATTCCTGAAGTATAGGCAAGTCAAATACTGCAGATTGCTTAATTTTCTTGTTTAAGTTCCTAAAGTGTATTCATAATAAATACAAGTATAATTTTCTGAAGCTGGAACAAAATTGACCAAAGAACTTCTAGAATAGTTCAAGTACATAGAGACATGAAATGTTTATGAGGTAATTGGAGTGTTTTTTTTGCAACCTGGTGGAATTAATAATCGTATACTCATACACTATTAAATTATGATGTTTCGAAATAGTGGAAAGGACAATATGAACAACTAATCATTGATGATAATATGGTACCTATGCCTTAACAACTATATAGTAATGTACAGACGTACAGTTATTAATGATTGCTGTAGTATGTAGTAATCTACGTAGTATGTAGTAAAATCATTGCGTGTATTACACCAGAGGCCCAGAGGTATCTGTTATAGAAGAAACTGAGATTTTTGTTTTCAACTTATGACTGCTGTAGCTTCTAGGTAGGATTGCCTCTTTATGTTCCTCCTTTGATGACTAGATTTTTCTGTTTGAATTTGAAAGAGAAAGATGTAATTTAAGCCTGATTTTTTTTATTTACAGTTTCTAGCTTTGGCTTCTGTTCTAACTGATTGACAATTCGACAGTTGTACCTGTAGTTACTACATGAGCTATTTCTTGTTATTGAATCACAAAATTATATATGACTACTAATTATTTACTAGACTCTTTTTGTTCAATGATTTGGAGTTAAATGGATCACTGTAGTTTTGTGCTATGCATAGAAGTTGTAATCATGAACACCTCTCGTTAGAAAATAGAAATGAGAAAAGTTTGAAAATTACAAGAAAATCACCATACACAAAAATGTCATTATGTCTGTACTTAGTAAAGCAAAACATGTTAAGATGGAAAATTACCATTCATAATTGGACTACTTATCAGAGAGAAGTTTCTTACTCGTTCCTTAATCTACTTTGAAGAATGGATGTCATGGTTTTGACAGCTTATGGGACTATCTAGCTTAATTAGACACGACATCACCAAGTTTATGTCAGGTCGATTTTCAGGATTAAGGGAGGTACAGGACAATGCTAGTTTAAGAATTTCTCTGACAATCACTTCTTCTTTTCTTGTGATACTTGAAGACAGATCAGGGTCAATAACAGTAAGTGGCCTGTCTTCAGCCATTGCCTTTTCCACCAGATGGCGCAAGGTGAGTGGTGATCCGCCTTCTTCAGTAAGACCTGTTGGCCTTTGTTTCATGAGGAACTCCATGATTATAACTCCAAAGCTGAATATATCTACTTTGGTCGTAAGAGTCCTCATATACGCAAACTCTGCAGTAAGAAACATAGTTTAGTTTCAACAACTGAATCAATCTAGAGACATTGGCAAAACAGTACTTCAGGAAATGAATAACTAGTTTATGTTTATGCAAATGATGAATTTCTGTATAGACAGAGAACTGGTGCAGAAGAACTACCTGGTGCCATGTAGCCAATAGTGCCTTTGAATGCTGACACTGTGGTACTGCTAAGACCATTTGGAAGATGAACACCCAGCATCCGAGCAGTTCCAAAATCACTGACATGAGCTTCCCAATCTTTATCCAAGAGAATATTTGAAGGCTTCAAGTCACAGTGAATTATAGGGGTGTCGTAACCTGAATGCAAGTAAGCCAATCCTTCAGCTATAGAGATACAGACATCAATTCTCTTTGATAAAGTCCAATATGAGCGGTCTGCTGAAGGATCATGAATGATCTGCTCTAAATTTCCGTTTTCCATGTATTCTAGAACTAACGACTTCAACTTTTTGCTCTCCCAAGCATAGCCAATCACCTTGACTAAGTTTCGATGTTTTAGCTGACTCAAGATTTTGGCTTCTCTGTAGAAACACTTGTTAGATTCTGCTGCAAATTGTACTAAATTCAGCTTCTTTATTGCAACAGTTTTCCCATCTTGCAATGTTCCCTTGTAGACAGTGCTTAGATTACTGCTACCAAGAACACGGCTTTCACTGAAATTGTCAGTAGCAACTTCTATATCCCTTGAACTGAATCTCTTCAATGTTAAAGCTCCTGCATTATCTATCTCAGGTGTCTCAAGTCCCTCAACTTCCCTGATGCTTCTCTTTTGATTACGTTGTTGCTGCTTATAAAGCAGGATGACAATTATAAGAAGTAACAATACTGATGCACACAAAAGGGGTATCAAGATCAATATTGTTTTCCTGCGCATAGAATTGGAGATGCTCTTCTTGGTGCAAGAACGAAGAAGTTTGGTCCCACACAACCCTTTGTTTCCCGAAAAACTTGATACAGGGAAGTTTTGGAGGACACCGTTTTGTGGAATAGCACCTTCAAGATGATTGTTTGAGAGATTAAGAAATTTTAAACTTGAAAGGTCATTGAGCTTGTCAGGGATTGGCCCGTAAAGTTGGTTTTGTGAAAGGTCTAGTGAATTCAGTTGCCTCAGCTTTGCCAAACTTGCAGGAATCTGACTATTGAGCTGGTTTCTTGACAGATTTATGCTTGTAAGAGGATTTGTCTCATCAAACATACCTTCATGAAGTGAACCAGAAAGCTCATTCGCTGATAAATCAAGGTTCAGCAGGTTTCTGCAGCCTTTGAGTGTTGCTGGAACAGGTCCTGAGAAATTATTGTGTGACATGTCGATGGACTGTACCATCTCCAACATGCCAATTTGTTCAGGAATTGTTTCTGACAGAAAATTGTGTGATAAGTTGAGGTAAGTTTGCAACCCCTTCATGTTTGCTATAACTGGTCCTGAAACTGACCCACTGAAATTGTTGTGAGAAAGATCTAACATTGTTAGACGGCTGAGTATAGCCATGCCTGATGGAATGTGCCCATGGAAATTGTTTCCTCCAAGGTTCAAGGTTGAAAGAAGCTCGAGTTTTGAGATAGAATTTGAAACTTGACCACTAAACTGATTGTTCTGCAACTCTAGTATAGTAAGCTGTTTGAGTTGGAATAACTCCTCTGGAATTTCACCTTCTAGTCGATTGTCATGCAAGGCAAGATCTTGGAGGAGAGCGAGCTTTGAGATTTCATGTGGAATTCGGCCTGACAACCTGTTTCTGTCTATCTGTAGTGTAAATAACCTGCTAAGATTACCAATTTCTGGTGGAATCTTCCCTGTAAAAGAATTTGAATGAAGTTGCAGCCTCCTCAGATTACTCATATTCCCAATACTTGGTTTCAGCGGTCCACTGAAGTTGTTTACAGCTAAATCAAGAGTTTCAAGACTAGCGCAATCAAAGATATCATCCGGTATGTTACCAGACAAAGAATTTCTTCCTACTGAAAAGATTGTCATGTTAGTTAACAGCCCCAAACCATGTGGGAGCTCACCAATTAACCTGTTATAACTGAGGCTTACGGCAAGAAGTTGTGTACAATTGGTTGTACTAGAAGGAATTGGGCCACTTAGTAGGTTTTGGTTCAAGGTAAGGTTCTTTAAGTTATATAGCTTCCCAATATCGGATGGTATTTCTCCTGTCAGGAAATTGAAACTTGCTGAGAAATATGTCAGGTTTTTCAGGTTGGTTATAGAAGGCGGAATTGAACCAGTGAAATTGTTAGAGTGCAACATCAACATCTCTAACGACGGTAAAAACCCAATTTCAGAAGGTATTTTCCCACTTAATTCATTCATTGAAATCTCCAAATGTGTCAATGACTTACAGTTGATTAAGGACTTCGGAATTACTGAAGTCAACTTATTTTTGTACAGCCTTAATTTTTGCAGGTTAACTAAATTCCCAATTTCAGAAGGTATTTTTCCAACAAAATTATTGCTATAAATGTTCAAAAGGGTAAGGTTCTTGCATTTCCCAACTTCAGGCGGAATTTCTCCAAACAACAAGTTCTCAAAAAGCTGAAGTGTTTCTAAACCTGTCAAGTTCCCTATCCAAGAAGTAAGTCTACCTGATAATTTGTTTTGACTAAAGTCTAAAACTCGCAATTTCATCAGCCTTCCTACAGAATCAGGTATAGGACCTTCAAAGCTGTTGTTATAACCGATAAAAACTTGAAGAGATTTAAGATTTCCAATGTTCGACGGAATCTTACCAGTAAATTTATTGGAGTTCAGTCCAAGTGCACCTAAGTTTATGCAGTTTGTGATACTATCAGGGATATTTCCATCAAGAAAGTTGTTTCCTAAGTCTAGTGATTGCAAGTTCCGAAGATTGCCTAGTTGTGGTGGAATGTTGCTAGAAAAAGAATTATCAAATAGAGTGAGTTCTATAAGCTGTGAGCATTTCCCAAGTTCAGCAGGAATTTGACCAAAGAAAGCATTAGAGGTTAGATCAAGAACCTGAAGTTTCGACAAGTTACCAACAAAACTCGAGAGCTTTCCTTGGAGCTGCTTCTCAGTCAGGGATATCACAATCACATTGTTCGTAGATGGGTCGCAGGATATGCCAGTCCAGTTGCAGTGATGACTGCTGCTGTTCCAGCCTGAGAGTTGACTCAGAGGGTCGTTGGTGATCGAGTTTCTGAACGCCTTCAAAGCTTCTAGTTCAACCTGCAGGCCACTGTCTGCTGATAAAACAGCAGTTGCTGTAAGGGAGACTATCAGTAAAACATAAGTTACGAGGAAAGTAGTATATTGGGGCGACATTATTGTTTGTTGAGACGAGTATGTTCAGCTCACTCAATGGGTGGCTGGGTGCATTTATATTTAGTTTTTGCTGATCAATTCATCTGAATCTATGAGGTTCAATACATGATTTGTAATCGAGTGGAACCGTGTTTCAATTGTATAACTTTATGGAAGTTTTATCTTAGTTGACTAGATAGTCAGCCAAAATTGGAATAGAGTTTATATAATGGAGTAAAGCACTAAAGCCTAAGCATAAATCCAAGTGAAGCAAATAATATAGTATGGGCGCCAATTGGCCTCTCGACCCACAGTTTTCTTTGTCAAACTTCTGCCATTAATACTCGTACAAAGCAAATGAAACTAGCTTAATTGATTTAAATTTTTTTAAGGGTGATACTTATTACCTGATATCAAATCTCGTTTAAATTATATACCTTGTTTCTTCACCAAAAAATTTAAAATATTATTCCATACGAAAAATAGTCGTTACTTTACCTTTTCATTATATTCTCTTTTTATATAGAATTAGTTATTGCATTATACATGCATCTATGGCTTAGGGTCTTAGGGAGTTATAAATTTATAATCGATGATATGACTTTTTTTTTTTCTTTTTTTCTCTTTTTTTTTTCTGATTTTGAAAAGATATCAGGGACAACTTTTATCAAATATTCTAAAATGATTTTTTTTTTTAGCTATTGTACAATCTATACTATGAATTAATCTTAAAAGAGATTTAGTAATTGTGTTTGTTTCCATGTAAAAATTTTCCACTATCTTGTATTCTTGTTGTTTTTCCTCCTACATAATATGAATGCAAAGAGTATATAGCACAAAATCAAACTTTAATCGACTTCTAACGCGGTTGGTGGCTGTTCCTTGTTTGGTTTTTTTATGCAACTTGCAAATTGTAATACTCATAGTGGAAGTTTTTTTACGTATAGTACAACTGTACAGAACATGATAGAGACTTATAGTAAAGTTGAACGTGAATCTCCCCCAAGAATAAAGATGCTACCAACGTGGTCTTCATCCTGATTTGGCTTCATATCTAATCACGGGTGTCAAACAAATGAATTATCGCATGAGAAATTATAGTCCGCCCCCTCGTCCTGATTGTACATTTGTTAGGGGGCGTTTGATATGGGGTTTAGAAACCTTGGGGGGTGGGTTTGGCTCATTCCCATACTTTTAGGTGTTAAATAAAAGAAAAAAATTGCATTCCATAAACATACCAAACATATGGTATTAAGAATCAAGTTCCAAATCCATACCACTATGGTTTCATTCCTGATTCCAACCTCATACCAGTTTGCAAACCAAACGTCACTTGGATGAGTTATACGCTGTTTACATAGAAAAAAGAAGAATAGAAAACCCTATCTCTGAAAATTGTTTGGACAACAAATGAGGGAGTTCAGGTTAATATCTCTCCTTGCAAACATATGAGTTGAATTACAGAATTACTTTTCCCTCGATCTATTCGTGAACTATCTCTCCAGGGATTGTGAAAGAGGGTCTACTAGAAATATTCTTGTTATTGCTTCGACTCATATTCCTCAAAATGTGGATCCCACTCTAATCGCTCCGAATCAATTAAATACATGTATTAAGATACGAAGGCTCTCCGTTTTTAAGTTCATAGCTTTCATGGTACCACTCTATTTTTGAGTCAATCAGATACCGCTAGACTGTATGTATTTGTAATTTTGTATATTTCTATGCTCAAAATAAAATAGATTATCTTGATAGACCTAGATGAATTTAAAATTTAAATAGAGTCTCTATCGTTTCGCTTAAAGAATCCAATATGAAACCTCATACACCTTAAAATTCATAGGACAAAAAGAGATTTTTTTTTGGTTGGGTCTTAATGTCTTATGTTAGGGGGGCTAGGAGTGATTATGTTTACCAATCCAATTTTTTCGGCCTTTTCACTAGGATGGTGATAAGTCGTATATTGTGCGTATTTTTAGAGTTCATTTAGGTAGTTTTCGAGTCTAGATTAGCTGTTCATAACTTATGTTAGCTTGATTTACTTTGGTTGTGATAATATAATGCTTTAATGGGTAGTTTCGTTGTTTTTTTAATATATTTCAGGATGAACGAGACTAATTTAGATGGTCACAAGAGTTCATTATGATGAAGGAGTAGTATCTCGTGTCCGCCCTTGCCCTGGTAGCCAGGGCGAAGGTAGGAGAAGATATTTAGCAAAGTATTACTACGGAGTATTGCTCCCATCACCCTGGTAGGGCAGCATTGCCCTGGCAGCCACATCGATGAGGATATGTGTTGTTATAAGCTTCGTGGTTTAGCAACCGCGGAGAACGTCTTGCGCGCCCGACTGGGCAGCGTTGCCTTGGCTATCCGTCGAAGACCTATTTTTCCTACTTCTTCAGGATTTCTTATTTAAGGGATATAAATACTCCTTTGTAAACCCCGATGACTAAAGACTTAGTTATTGTTTTCCAGCTTTTAAACCTTTATTATAACCCTAGTTTTCTTTCTAGATCTAGATTAAATTGCACTTTCAAGTTTTGATCTTTGTTCATCAATAATTGGTACTTTTCTTCATTCAAGTAATTGGTATTCATCTTTTCTTCTTCGTTTACTTTTACTTACTTATTAATCATGTTTTCTTCATTTTGTCAAAAAAAAAAAAAAATCATCATGTTTTCTTCATTGAATATCGTTTTTGTTTCCATTAATATGTGTGAGTAGCTCTTAATCCGGGATCTTGGCAGAGCTTGAATATGATTGATGCATGAATTAAATCTTTAAATTCTCCAATAATAATCCCAATTGACATGCTTAATTGATTGTGCTTATTTCAGTACAAGAATAGAGATACTTAGTATTGTTATTAATTCCTTTGTTTTAATCGCAACGAGAGTTGGGTTTTAACGGAATTGAATATATTAATTAAGGGTTTGAAGTTCATCATGAGAATAGTTGAATGAATGATTAGAAAGAGTAATGTGCTGAATGTCTCTAATTTACATGACTCCATGAGAAATTGTGATTAGAGAAGCCATTGACCTTTCGTATTATCTGAGGATTACTTTACCTCTTATTAATTGATTTATATATTGGAGGTAAAATTATAATTGCATTGATTGTATTTGTGGTAATGCTTGATCTTGGATGTCGTTAGTATTTGATTTATCATATTATTTAGTTTAATCGTGTTACTTTGATATTTAGTTATTAATTCTCAATTATTTTATTTGGTTACTTGCTTAGTAGTTAGTTGAGTCTATTTAATTAGTTGAATCATAATCTCTTGGGATCCGACCTTTATTTACTTGTTTACACAGTAATGATCTAGTCAGGTTTATTTTTGTTAGGTATGCGACACGCCTATCAGATTGGTTCTTGTGTGTATATCTTTATTCTATATTCTAGCAAACTCCCATTTTATAGCTTCCGCATAACTCCTTATGTATGTGGGAGCTATAAATGTATTAAACATATTTTCTATAATGTTTATGAATGGTCGTCTCCTCTCACAACTTTAAGCATTTGTTCTTGTGTCATTACTCTTTCACTTTTATTATTTAAAAAATAATAAAAACATTTTATTGTGAATTTTGTGAGATTGAAGAGATATATTTACAGGTTTATTTCAAAGATGAAACTTGGATTTTCCCCAAATATAGTGAAGGAGGCCTACAAGCAATGATAATAGATAATACGAAGTATGGTGTAAGATTGAACTCCACTAAAGTTTCTTATAGGCTTTATAGCCATGTTTTAAAATTTCTATTGTTCACTTTGTAAAAGGAACAGAGGAGAGTGAAATCTATAGTTAAAATTGATCATGTCTTTTACCCCTCTTAATTCCTTATCATTAAACTTTTTTATTTTACAAGTAGCACTTTAATTTTTCTAATGTCTTTACCATCAATTTTAACTATAGATTGTTAAAAAAAAAAAATCAGTCATGCATTACGATATATTTTCTTTTTGAGGGACAGTCATTTATTATAAAGGTACATTTTATAATGATAATGAACTAATTATAACAATAATGATCAACTGTGGTAAAAATAAAAATAAATTAACTCCATGTCTTTGTCATTTCATTTATTCTACTTGACTTATTCTACTGTTAAAACACTAAAACTTACCAGATGCTTAGAAAAGAATATGAAACGATAAAATGATTTACAGAAAAAGAAATTTTGATTTCTAAATCAACTATTTACTGCCAAAAACAAACATAATTCCTGCGACAATTAATTCTTAATTTGTGTTTACTTCAAGGCTTTTTACCCATTCAAATGATATTAACCTGTCAAATTGTCAGTTTCACTGTATTGTATGAGTGTATTCTGTATATGGCCTCTTTGCATTCTATTACAAATTGAATTACAATTATTAGTAATAATAAATAATTAATAATAGACAAAGAATATTATTAATATATTTATTTATGTTAATTTAATTGTTCTGTCCAACTTCCTCTATATAAGCCCTTCATTTTATCAACTGTGTTACAAGTAAAAATAAAATTCAAGTGTATTTACTACGTATTTTTTGAGTTTTACTTTATAGCAATGGCAAATTTCACTCTCTCCTTTTCACTTCTCTGCTTCACTGTCCTGCTTTTTTCTTTCAACCGCGGTAAATATCTCTATTCTAAGTTTATATTGTCAACTTCTCCCTTTTTTAATTGTTATTTCTCTGTTCGGAATTAATAATCATGTTGATCGTAAAATTCAAGCATGTGATTCCCACCAAAAAAAAAAAAACTCAAACATGTAACGTGACTATGAGGGGGGTTTTAATGTTTTCTCTAGCCTATTTGTGTTTAGTGTACATATTACATTATATAATCGAATTTTACATGTATTATAGGTGGAATTTTAGCTCAGGATGTGCCTTTTGCAAAGGTACTAATCTATACATGCACTTCCATTTTTATCAAACCATTTTATTAGATGTGTGTTACAATTTTTTGTTGTTGTGTGTGTATATATGTACATCAATAAGACATGGTGCGTGGCGAAACCGTCGGCTGCTGATGTAGATCTGGAGAACAACATTGAGTTTGCTTGCAACCAAGTTGGTATTGATTGCAGCATAATTCAAGAGGGTGGTCAGTGTTACTATCCTACTAGTCTCGTCAACCATGCTTCTGTTGTCATGAACCTCTACTTTCAGAAAGCCGGTCGTTCTGCCTTTAACTGTGATTTCTCTGAGACTGGCCTCGTTGCTGTTACTGATCCAAATATGATTACTAAACGCATATGTTTGCTGAATGGATTACTTTCTTTTTCGCGGTTTTCTCTAGTAACTAGACGGTGTTTGTTCACTTATTTTGATTGCTGTTGGTTAATTTGTCGCGAGTATTGTGGTCTAGTGTCACTCATTGTGCTTACATGGTGTGCTTATTTTGATTTTGTTTTGCAGGCTATGAAGGATGCCTCTATACCTTTGTGTAGTGGACCGGCGTCACATTATAACTATATAATTTATTAACGAATAAATTTGTGTTTTATCTAGCTCTAATGGAAATCAATTGTGTGTTACAGAGAATATGATGGTTTTTATGTGACTGAATTAACTATATATTGTACGAAAACAGTGTAACTATTGATACATTGTTGTAGTTCAATGGAAATTGTTATTCAACTTAATAGTGTTTACATTTTTACAATTTTGTCTCTTTCATTGATTCTTTATTTGCTTTAGCTGAATATATGTTGATCATGTTCATTCAAAAACCAATAGACTGTAACAGTCTGAATATCTGATGTCATCTTTCACTGAAACTTATATCGTCGTTATTAACTAGCCTTACTCTATAGTTATTGGATGAAAATTGAGGTCCAGGGTCATACTTTCTGATGTTATTGTTTCTTTTCGGATCGCAATGTACATGTAAGTTAATTTGCATACGGATGATTACTGCTTTGTCTTAGCTTGTCTTATTTAGGACAACTGATGGTGGCGCAGGGGATGGAAGGTTAAGATTAAGCATTTGTAACAGAAAGTGAATTCAACATTCTAAATTTAGTTATGAACAATAATAAAAATGATTTTGCAACATTATGAGTAAAAAAGTTTGCAGTTCTGCACTATTGTTTGGACAAATTCTTATAGTTCTTGTTTTTCTGAAGTCCATAATGCTGTAACAATTTTCGAACCTGCATCGAAATATGACCCTTATATGGTTTTTCTGAAGTCCATAATGTTTTTCTGAAGTCCACGAACCAAATCCTACTTATATGGTTTTAGTATTCTGGCCACAAATAAATAAGTGGTCAGAAGACAACCAAATTACTTTAGGAGCTAGTCATTTGTGTATGGCTGCACCACAAGGGACTTCAGCCGCGCTTTTCTGCTTGTTTAGCCATCATAATCCCATGCTTGGGGTTCTGAGGAATGTAGAGCAAGTGTTAAAATCAAGGAAGTGTGTGTTAAATAATGTGATTTTTACTGCCCTTGACATTATTGACATAATAAGACATTATTAGCACGCAAAGGAGGAAGACAACTTGACAAAAAGCTTCAATTCACAGCCTATTAAACTGTCAAGCGGTCACAACCCCATGATGTATGTAAATGTCTGAAATCGTTTTCAGAGAATCCTGCACAGCTGCACTAACAGCGTTTCTATTTCATACGGTGTATTTACATGACCAAAAAACTTTACAAAGATGATTAGCTTGCTAGTTTACTAAGTTACTAAGTATAACCTCACTACTACAATCCAGTCCAGTGTATTCAAAAATGCAACTTGCTTAATCAAGAAAGATGAAAAAATATATACTGGCTTTCTATTATACATCCCAAAGAGAAGAAGTTACCATAATATACATTTCGTTTCATCAAGAATGCTAAAAAATTTCTTCCACTCACACAGGCTTATAGAACAAAATCTCGGAAATAAGTACACATGATGTGTATGTTATTTTAGTCTTATTAGAATATTAGTACTATAGGATTCTTACAATATTCGTGTATAGAGTCTTAGAGCTTTGAAGTGGGCTTAATTAGGTAGTTAGAAAAGAAAGACGATACTGGAGAAGCATATGCTTTGCTTTTAAGCTCCTCATTGTTTTCACCCTCGAATTCTTTGCCTTCATCTACTCTGCTTTCTTCTGTTGTTGCTTCTTCCTCGGCGTCATCTACCATCTATTAACTCAGTAAAATTGTTTTATCAGTTCATGTGTTAAAATGTTAAATATTCTCCAATATCATGGGGATGTGGAAATAGAAAACCAACATCAAATGGCAACAATGGCTCCAATATAACATCAACATAATGATATCTTTGTGAAAGACTAAAGCAATACTTGTATAGTTTACCATGTAAACCCATTAATAGATTACGTTACTACGTTAATCTTGGTAAAGGATCTTACCAACTTTATTTTAGGGTACGTTCACATTTACTTAATTTCAGTTCAGTTCAATTCATTTCAGCTCCTAATTTCCCTCTTATCAAATATTTATTTCAATTCAATTCATAAAATGTGAACATCCCTTAATGAAAAAACTCTAGATAATTCTTTTGCCTAAACCGTCTCTTAGGAAATATCTAACTATCTAAGCCACTTTTAACTTTGCAGACTTTTTCTAGAGCATTCGTCCCTCTACATCCTAGCTAAACTATTTTAACACTATATATAAGTTGTGCAACTTAGTTGTAATTGTCATTTGAGAATCAAATACAATTAAACATTTTCTTCCAAAGCTCACTCTATCCCACGTTTAAGAATATTGAATTTCATGAATGTCTCATTGACGGCGGATCCAAGGGGGTTCAAGTGGGTTCATTTGAACCCACTATTTTTCGGAAAAAATAATAAGTTTTAATTATTATTTTTTTTTATTTTTGAAAAAAAATAATGATAATAGGAATATTTGTAAATAAAATATACTGAACATTGGCATAACGGTATTCGAAAAGTTTGAGCGGGATCTTAGGGCATCTTTAAGGGTGAACTATTTAATTATTCACAATGAATAAACAAATAAAGTGGTGGCTTAATGGCAAACCTTTAATGGTTCATGTTGAGTGGTCATGGGTTCAACGACGTCGTTTTGTTGTTTCATGGTGCAAAACGACGTCGTTTTGCTGTTGAAGCTCAGAAAAAAAATAGAAATCAGCGGCTGGGAGCGCGCCACTTGGCCCAGCCGCTGCTTGACACGTGTGCACTGTTTTAAATATATCCGTTGTAATTTTGCAACGGATATATTTTACAAAATACAAATCAAAAAAAAAAAAAAATTACCAACGACTCTATTTTTTTCCCCTCTATAAATAGACACCCATATTGATATATTTTTTTCAACTTTCAAAATTCATTTTTTTCTTCTATATTTTTCTCTTCAAAAATCCCCTCTATAATTACCAATATTATTATTATTATTATTATTATTTATACCAATATTAATATTATTATTGTTATTATTATTTTTAATTATTATCATTAATATTATTATTAATATTATTATTATTATTATTATTGTTTTTATTATTATCGTTATTATTATCGTTATTATTATTATTATCATCGTTATTATTATTATTATTATCGTTGTTATTATTATTATTATTATCATCGTTGTTATTATTATTATTATTATTATTATTATTATTAAAAAGCTCGTTTTGCCATTATTAAAAAGCCGTCTTTGGCGTGGGATACCGACATACTCCACAATATCATGCTCGCCTGCATCATAATACATAATATGATCGTTGAAGATGAACGAGAGACGTATCAAAATAACGTTAATACCAATGAGTTTATGAATGCTGGAGGGAACGCTAATGAGGACACTACCGAGTACCGTACTGATCGTATTGTGGATATCGGCTTATACTTGTCTCGTAGAACAGAGATTGAGGATCAACAGACTCATTTGCAGCTAAAAAACGACTTGGTCGAACATATATGGAATAAATTTGGTAACTACGAAAACTTAGGCAACTAGGTTTACAACAATTGGTTATCCCTAAGGACATCTTACAAAACGATGTGTAGTTGTGTTTTTTTTTTTAAATAAAATGTACTAGATTATAGTTGTAGAACTGTAATCACGATTTGTACCTCCTTTTTTTTATGTTAATTAAAATTAGATGCGTTGTTGTTAAAAAAATATTAATCACAAGAATTAATTTTTTAAAAAGCTGATAAAAAAAGCGATAATTTCTTAATTAGTAATCACGATTAAAATATTAAATACGTCAATTAATTACATTGACATCGGTTAATAAATTATAATTATGTAACAAAAAGATTATATTTACAAAAATAAAATAAGGTGGGGTAGGGAGTATTGATGATGAACCATTGTTTAGTGTTTATTGTTAAGAGTGAATATTGTAAATGGTTTGTTGAGTTGATGTGGATGAGAGAGAAATGGTGATAGTGACCCATAAACCATTTTTTTTTGTTCACCAATAATGGTGCTCTTACAACAGGCCTTGGGTTCGAATACTACCATTCAATGGGCTCACAAAACTATTCAATTCTGGTCAGATTCTTATTATCACCCAAAATCCCAAATGACTACAAAATTCAAATCCTCAACTTTCTGTTTCTGATTAATATGTGATATATAATGAATAATTGATTGGAGAGTTAGAAATCTAGGAGTTTTTCTAGTTACTTGTTGGGTTATTGGGTTTTTTTAATTGATATTTTTTTTTTGTTTATTTTTCATATATTGAAATCCAGTTCTTTTTTGTATATTTTTGTTGTTTAATTTTGTGTATAATAACGATTTTGTGGAGTTAGATTGTGTAGCCATTTTAATTAGATATTGGGAGACGTTCTTAATTTCGCTTAATTTACTCCAAAATTTTTATAATACTCTCTTAATTTCGCTTAAGTTCCATAATCCACATCAAAATTTTCAATTTTCCACTCTAATTACGCTAACTCATATTCAAATCATATACATCACGAGGAGATTGGGTGACATAACAATAAAATAGGAAATCGAAAGTCGTTAATGATAAGAAAATTATTAAGCATATTGATAGGGAAAATTTTCCATCCATAAGCTTTAAGGAGTTCATCATATATCTTTGAATATCATATATCAATTTATTTGTTCCTAATTTAATTTTTAGCAGGTTAATGTGAAAATTTTGATGTAGTTATATATGTTTTTAATGTAACTGCCATACAAAATCTTTTAACACCACTTCTTAAATTATGGCATCGGTTTAATATTCACCATTAAGCCACCAAAATCTCAAAGAGGAACTATCTTAAATTAATATATTTTCATCCTTTTTCTTTTAGAATTTTGAACTCATGGTTCAAAATTCCTGGATACGCTACAAATGTGTCATAAATGCTTTCAAGAGTTTTGTATTGAGTTTGTCTGAATTTATAATGCAAGTTTTGAAATTCAAAAAGTAGTTCGATTAGGAATTTTTTTTCACCACCGTCTAATACATGCTTCTCTTATTCTTAGAGCTCCTACCATCCTGTCAGAATTCATATAATAACATATTTAATCTATATTTATAGCGTATTTAGAACCCTTTTAAAATCGGATGCCTTCTTTATTTTGGAGCTCTTATGGTATGAGCTTATTTGCACAGTCCCTTAATTAGCTTAATAATATTTTTGTAATAATATTATATATTAGCACATACTACTACATATATAATAACTACATGAAGCCCGTGCGATGTACAATTTGTTTGAATTTTTTAATATATATATATATATATATATATATATAATTTGTGATATATTTAGATAAAATTCCTGATATAAAAAGATAATTTTATATTTAATTAATTTAAATTAGGAAATCTCATTCGCCAATTTTTCTTACGTGTCAATTAAGGTATTTAATTCTAAAATAAATTAATAATCTTGCATTTAATTGGCTACCACTAAAATTTATTATTCTACATGGCGCGCTGAAAAAAATTAAATTCTACGTGCCTATCTAAAAACTCGGGAAAAAACTCCCTTTATATATATACTAGTTTTGTGCCCCGTGCGATGCACAAAATATTTATTGAATTTTAGGATAAATTTATAATCTATATGTCAAAATTTAAAATATATCACTGATACAAAATTAGTTAGGAGTTGATGTGCTTTTATGACGATTTGCTATCTAGTAAGCATGTAATTACTAATAATAATGTTGGTGAAAATATTCTCTTTAATACATAAAAAAAATAATTAAAAAATTTATCAAAAAATAAACTAAATTAAATAAATGTTCAAAGCACGTCGGATTGACCAGAACCCAAAACTTTGGGCAAGGGATGAACATTTCTTGACTCATAACCTGAAGTGACCCAATTCGAGATGTTTCATGACCCAACCCTAATTGACAGATATTCATTCTATTAGATTGTGAAGTATATAATTTTAACCGATAAGTATATATTATAAATGGATGTTTTACGCTTTGAACTACTTCCTTCACACCAAAAATATTATGATATAAAAAATAAATTTATATGATAACTTTTGAGAATTATAATCTAATTTTTTTTTTTTGGATAAAATTATAATTCAATTTGTACATCCGAAATATTGATATTTTATCGATAATAAAACTCTAAACTAACAATTTTATCCTAAAATTTTATTCAAATAAAATTCTAAACCAACTTTTTTATCTTATGAAATCTATTTAAATTTATCCAACATAGCGCGACACTTGGCGAAAGAACGTCAAGTGTCGCAATGTCATGACTTGGCTAAAAGTTTAGCTTTATATATTAGTTACTAGTTTTGTGCCCGACGATGTCCGGGTAGTTTATGGACTTTTAAGATAAAATTATACTATTATAATTCAATTTGATTGAAAATAGAATTCTAAATTAACTTTTTTTTGCTACAAAGTCAATCTATATTTATCAAACGTGGTACGATACTTGGCGAAAAATTAAAACGCTAAATAATGATGTTGTCTTGTGGCCTAATTATAAATTTATTATTTGGTATTTTATCGAAGAAATAACTCTAAACTAATAATCTTATTCTAAAATTCTTTCCTAATTTGATTGAAAATAGAATTCTTACCTAATTTTTTTATCTTATGAAATCTATCTAATTAAGGTGGCGTGACATTTGACGGTTTTTTGATCATATGAAGTCTATTTAAATTTATCCAAGGTGGCGTGACACTTGGCGAAAAGT